GCGTCTAAGGTGTGTGCGTGTGTGTGTGTGTGTGTGTGTATGTGTGTGTGGGTGGGGGGGGGGGGGGGGGTGGGTGTGTGCGTGTGTGCACGTGCAAGGCTTTGTGGCGGTCAATTCATCAGCCTTGCAAGCTGCTGAATGGTGTAATCCCAGCACAAGTTGCTATGTCTAACATAGCTGTTCGCTATCATCGCTTTCGCGATGGGCATGTCTGAGGTCTGAGTGTTCACGTGTGCGCGCGTGTGTGTGCCGTCTTTGTTCTGTTCTGTTCCGTCTTCAGTTCTACGCGCATCATCTTGCCAAGCGCCTGATCTTCAATACATCCAGCAGTCAAGACATGGAGGAGGCCGCCATCTTGCGGATGAAGAACCTCTGCGGACACGAGTACACGCAGAAGCTGTACCGCATGATCACAGATCGCAACCTGAGCACGGAGCAGGGCATGGACTTTGCAACCTTCCTGAAAGATGCCAACGTGAAGCTCACCATTCAGCCACAGTTCTTCGTCCTCCAGGTAGGAGGAGTGTGTGCGCCGCGTGTAGTTTGAGTTATTATAAAAGGCTCTTACAGTATTCAACATCTACCTTCACTGATGAGCTATGCACACTGTATTAGCGAAACAGCTGTCCGAAGGAGTTATCAATATCGTCTACGGAAGTGTCCTCGCAGTGGTGATGGTTGTGTGCAGGAGGGTCTAGTCGGCTGAGAGCGCAGTGTAGTGGTGGAGGTGATACTCAACATTTTCTTCAAAGGCCGAGAGCTCTGTCGCACCCTGTAATAGGTAGAAAAGCCTCTTGTACGCGCAAAGCAAATGTGCTTACATAATAATTATTATGACAGAAAATCTCAATACAAAAAAATGAACAAAACGCCAAGAATCTGAAGAAAAAGACTCAATCCAATTCTTTGTCGCACCCTGTAATAGTATATTCCCTGCCTAAACAATCCTCGTCTCGGCTGTGTTCTACTGTCTCGTGCACCATAGTGTCTCGTGCACCTGGGCTGGGTTTGTCTGTTTTCTGTACGCATGTTTACCGTGTGGTCTTTGTACAATAGATGTGTATGCATGTGTGTGTATGCATGTGTGTGTGTGTGTGTGTGTGTGTGTGTGTGTGTGTGTGTCTTTCTGTGTGTGTGTCTTTCTGTGTCTGTGTCTGTGTGCGTGCGTCTGTGTGTGTGTGTGTGTGTGTGTGTGTGTGTGTGTGTGTATGCATGTGTACGCATGTCTGCATGTGTGTGTATGCGTATGTATGTGTGTGTGTGTGTGTGTGTGTGTGTGTGTGTGTGTGTGTGTGTGTGCATGTGTATGCGTATGTATGCATGTGTGTGCTTATTAGTCTGGATCATGGCCGATCACCAATCAGTTGCAGGACTCCCTGGACCTACCGCTGCAACTTCTTCACGTTAAAAAGCTGGTAAGTATGTGAGTACGGTGGCCGCCGTGTAGTTGGCCGCCGTCTAGTTGGGTGCCTAGTTGTCTGGCTAAAATCACCACTGCAACAAATGTATTACCGTAATGTCGCGTATAAAAGCAGGTGCTTACGGCCGTATAAGCCGATGTCAGTGCTAGTCTTCTATTCAAACCAGGTATCTCTATGTTTGTCAACACTAAACCAGGTATCTCTATGTTTGTCAACACTAAACCAGGTATCTCTATGTTTGTCAACACTAAACCAGGTATCTCTATGTTTGTCAACACTAAACCAGGTATCTCTATGTTTGTCAACACTAAACCAGGTGTCTCTATGTTTGTCAACACTAAACCAGGCTTATGTGCTAACAGTCTTTCTTAAAAATCAGACTTGAATTCAAAAACAGGCTTCTACTGTAAGACATGTTATTATAACGAGTCGCAAATTTAACGATTGTCCAAAATTCATAGGTTAACGAGAAGATATGTTAACGATCTTGCAGTATTCTGCCATATCCACACACAGCATATATGAAGCAGTACGGCCTCAACGGATCTTATTATAACGAAGAAATGTCATCCGTTAAAACGTTAGATTTGCTTCCTCGTTATATATATACATGTCTTACAGTATTCAAGACAGGCTTCTATTCAAGACAGGCTTTTATACAAGACACTACAGCATTTGAACTCGGATGGTGAGCCGATTTAATTATGATAAAAACGGAGAAGAATGAAAATGTTACGACTTGTAACTAGCCGTCCACCAACGTCACCAGATCATAGACAGTCAGCGAGTGCGACAAAATGGCACAAAACTGACAAGGAGTAGTGAGACATTCGGCGACCTGACACCTAGCTCCAACACTTCTCCAAATCCAATTTGGAAGGTTGTTGGCTTGCGCATGGAGCGTGCGAGCTGGACTCGAAACTATTTTTTCTGTTCTCGGGCCTTTTTGCAGTCGAACAAAGCCCTAGTTTCGACTTCTTGAGTGCCTTTCGTGACGATTCTCGAATTTCACTCGAAAATTCGACTTGCTCGTGCTCTGTATTGTCGGAGGAATATGTGCAAGAACAGCGATTTCGCGTTTTCTGAAAACAGTTCTAGGGCTTAAAGGGTTAAAGTACCCTTGATCATCTCCCCGCGCCATGTCGCTTCCCTGCTGGGTTTTCAGCAGGGGCTGGAATTAGATCAAGTCGATCAAGTATATTACATGTGTGCATGTGTGTGTGTGTGTGTGTGTGTGTGTGTGTGTGTGTGTGTGTGTGTGTGTGTGTGTGTGTGTGTGTGTGTGTGTGTGCATGTGTGCGTGTGTGTGTGCGTGTGTGTGTGTGTGTGCGTGTGTGTGTGCTTGTGTGCGTGTGTGCGTGTGTGCATGTGCGCGCATGCGTGTGTGCGTGCATGCTTGCTTGCCCTGGGGTGTGTGTATGCGTGTGTGTGCGTGTGTGTGTGTGCGTGCGTGCGTGCGTGCGTGCGTGTGTGTGCACAGTTTGACCAGTATTACAAAGCCAAGCACAACGGCCGTGTTCTGCACTGGAACTATGCCTTCAGCATGGGTGAGTACTATGTTTACACCGGTAATAGCACTCACTTGTGAGGTCTGCATTCGCCACTAAGGTGTATAGGCATAGTGGTGGCCTGCGGATACGAAAGCTAGTTTGTGTGTTTCTGAACATCCAAACGATGCTGACGCGGATCCCGCTACAACACCCGTGCCTTTACTACTGGGGACAGCAACCTTTTCTTTCGCTTTCTCTTTCAGTCCACAATGTGATAGATAATACAGACGGTGCTAAGGAAATCCCACACTACTAGCACGGTGTTTTGCCACATTCAGTGTGATATGCAGTCCACATTCAGTGTGATGTGCAGTCCACATTCAGTGTGATGTGCAGTCCACATTCAGTGTGATATGTAGTCCACATTCAGTGTGATATGCAGTCCACATTCAGTGTGATGTGCAGTCCACATTCAGTGTGATATGTAGTCATCATTCATAATGCGTTTCAAAGTGCGGCTAACGCCCTGGAAAATATGATACACCCAGACATGCCTGCGCAGTCCCCCCCCCCCCCCCCACACACACACATGGACGCATGCACGCACGAACACACAAGCGGCAGTATCTATTTGGCAATACGAAAACACCAAGCACGGAGACTTGAGCCAGCTCGTTTGGCAATGGTTTACCAACGCCCATCTGTGTGTGAGATCAAGCCTCTTTCTACAGGCAAAGGAAGTACACCATGGATGAAAGTGCAATACAAATGCAAAACCAGAAAATAAGAAAAGGAAAAATATGCAACCCAAAATCAAAAACAATGTGTGATTAGCACTATGCATGTGATGTAATACCACTCCCGAACTACAGTAGCACATTGAAATACAGTGGGTATCGGTTATAGCGTGGGTGTTTGAAAAACGACTTTCTATTCTTATTTCCGATATTTCTTACACACGATAAATCAAGTGTGGCATATCATGTGCAGGGGCGCAGGGGCAGGAAGATCATCGTGCATGCAACGCAGTACTTCTGTGCATGTGGTTGGTCATAGTCCCATAGGCTTACCATGTGGCTGGTCATAGTCCCATCGGCTTACCATGTGGCTGGTCATAGTCCCATCGGCTTACCATGTGGCTGGTCATAGTCCCATCGGCTTACCATGTGGCTGGTCATAGTCCCATAGGCTTACCATGTGGCTATGCAACAACATGAGTTACATGACCACAACAGTTGAGCCTGCAGCACTACGACGCAACGAGAGTCATATCAGAACTGCATCGGATAGATGTTATTACTACAGGCGATACACTTTGTACTAATCTGGCATGTTTCGCTACACAAATTCCATTCTTAGAACCGACATATTCTACTATGGGATAAAATTGCTTGTAAGAATAAATGTGCGCTTGAAATCCATGTTATGATTATGAAAACATGAGAGTTCATTCTTGTAGGCAGTATATTCTTTTGCACAACCACGCTATAACCGATACGCACTGTACCATTAAAAATATTGGTCTCGGATGGAGAGCCAAGGATAATTTTATAGAAAAGAAAAAGGACCAAGGAACTACAAGTTACGCTATAATGTGCAATAACACCACCAGTTACTAAACAATCAGCTCATGCGATAACATTGCACGACACTGACCGACGGTACTGACGTTCTACAACTAACTGGTTATCGGCTCTAGTGTCATGCAATGTTATCCCATGAGCTGATTGTTTAGTAACTGGTGGTGTTAGTGGACAATATAGCGTAACTTGTAGTTCCTTGGTCCTTTTTCTCTTCTATAAAAATATTGAAACTCGGATGTGAACACAATGATGTGTGCATGTGTGTATGTGTGTGTGTGTGTATATGTGTGTATGTGTGTGTGTGTTCATGTGTGTGCGTGCGTGTGTAGGTGAGCTAAAGACCTGCTACTTGGACCGTCCATATAGCATTTCCATGTCGATTTTTCAGATGACAATTCTCTTGCTTTACAACACTACGCTCTCGATATCCATCCGGTAAGCAGCCTCTGTGTGCTTGTTTGCTTTCTTGTGTGTGTGTGTGTGTGTTGTTTGGGTGGTTGGGTGTGTGTGTGTGGGGGGGGGGGGGGGGGGGGTGGATAGGTGGTTGGGTGGGTGGGGCACTTTCTGCTTGTCATAGATTGGCTCCACAATGTGATGAACGGGTCTGTGTGTGTCTGTGTATGTGTATGTGTGCCCGTGTGTGCCCTGTTTTGGCGTTTGCATGTGTGTGCCCATGTGTGTGTGTGTGTGTGTGTGTGTGTGTGTGTGTGTGTGTGTGTGTGTGGTGTGTGTGTGTGTGTGTGTATGTGTGTGTTTCCATACCGACTGCCACTAGTGATATAAGCGCGAGGACGAAACTCTCCATGGGCACTCTTGGCGGCCAGCTTAAACCACTCGTCGACATCGGTCTGCTCAAGCCTGCTAAAGTAGGCGAGGAATTCAACTGGCGCAACCCAGCCCAGGTAGGACAATGATCACGTCACGCTCTTAGCTTGTGATCTGATCGTGCTGTCTATATGCTGTCTCATCAACACGTTTTGCACCCTGCACCAGTGTACGGCCTAGTGCTTGCAGGTCTGCGGCTGCAGCAGCATCACCACCACCAGCAGCAGCATCTGCAGCAACATGAGAGGTTCTTGAGTACTTCCGGGACATTCACCAGTCATCTCCTTTCTTGTTCTTCTTTTTGTTGCTTTTCTCTCCAGGAGCAAGTGCTGTCATTGAACCTAAGGTATAGCAACAAACGATTCCGATTCAAGCTTGGAGTAGCTAACACCAAGGAAGTGAAGGAGGTACGAAGCACTGGTTGAGTGGGTGTGCGCATGTGTGTGTGTGCGCATGTGTGTGTGTGTGTGTGTGTGTGTGTGTGTGTGTGTGTGTGTGTGCGTGCGTCCGTGCGTGTGTGTGCGTGTGTGCGTGCGTGTCCGTGCGTGTGTGTGTGTGTGTGTGTGTGTGTGTGTAAACCGATTGCAAGGTATTGCTGAGGCGGAACTGCCTGAATCCCAATGCGGGTTTCGGCGGCACCGTGGTTGTGCGGACACCATCTTCTCTGTCCGTCAACTTGTCGAGAAGTCGTACGAACATCGATCGAAGCTCTTCTGCGTATTTGTGGATCTCCGCAAAGCATACGACTCTGTCCCTCGCGAAGCTCTTTGGCAGGCATTGCTGCGGCTGGGTGTGCCGCCCCCGACTGTGGCCATCATCAAATCATTCCATACAGACATGTCAGCTTGCGTTCGCATTGCCGGTGGTTGCACGGATCCGATATCTGTCAAGAATGGGCTGCGCCAAGGGTGCGTTATGGCACCTGTACTGTTTAACTTGTACTTCGGCTTAGTTATTGAGCGTTGGCGATCCCTTCTCGTTGAGCGTGGAATAGAGTCTGGTGTGGACTTCAGCTTCACAATTGATGGCCAGCTGTTCCCTCGTGTCACTAGGCGTCGTCCCCACTCCGAGTCCGGCCATGCTGATGACTTCGAGTTTGCGGATGATGCTGTACTGCTCGCTACAACTCGCAACGCAGCCGATCAATCCCTGTGTGCCTTTTGTGAGGTCGCATCCAGCTTGGGTCTCACAGTGAGCATGACCAAGACCAAGCTTCTCGTTGCAGGTTTCGGAGTTTGCCCTGCTGATTGCTCTGATTTGGTCATTGGCAGTGATAGGGTTGAAGCAGTCACCTCATTCCCCTATCTTGGTTCCACCATCACTCCAGACTCGCGGTCGCAAGCGGACATTCGGAGCCGTCTAGCAAAGGGTGCAGGGGCCTTTGGTGGTCTTCGGCGCATCCTACATGACCGGAGCCTGAACCTCCCTACCAGGCGCCACCTGTATGTCGTTTGCGTACTGTCAACGGTTCTGTATGGTTCAGAATGCTGGACGCCGTTGAAGGCAGATTTAGATAGAATGGACCGGTTTCACCATGCCAACATTCGCTCCATCCTTGGCGTATCGCGAGGCCGACAGTGGGAACAGCGCATCTCTTCACAGGAACTGCGAGCACAGTGGGGTGATCCCACACCATTGTCACGCATGGTGCAGCAGAGACGGTTGGAGTGGCTTGGGCACCTGGCTCGTCTTGATGACACCAGAGTACCGAAGCAGTTGCTGTTTGCCTGTCTCCCTCAGTCTCGGCCATTCTGTGGACCTCGTCGTCGCTGGAAGGACACCATTCACACGGACCTATCCGTGGCTGGAGTGCGTAACTGGTTTGAGTTGGCAAGCGATCGTGGAGAGTGGCGTGGAGTGGTGACAGCAGCAGGTGAGGACAAGGAACCCTCCCCGAAGAGCATCGAGTGCCCAACCTGCAACCGTCTGTTCCGCCGTAGTTCCGACATGGTCCGGCACAAGTGTTCAGCAATCCGTCAGCTCCCGGTATCGGAGCAGCCTGGATCAGTACAGTGTCCAACATGCAACCGATGGCTACGTAGCAGAGGAGGCTTTGCGGTGCATAAGTGTCGGCTAGGCGATGTCGACCAGCCGCCGGCCCCTGCCCCTGCTCCTCTTGTTGTTCCTGGTGTAACTTGCACCAACTGTCAGCGTTCATTTAAATCGGCTGCGGGTCTCAAGCGTCACCGTTGTGGAACCTGTCCAAAGCGCCCTACTGTGGCTGAACGCCAACAATTCAAGTTTCACTGCCAAGTTTGCCACAACCGACGGTTCCGGAGGCGGCAAGATCTGGAACGCCACTTGGAGCATTGCCTTCCTCCCCCCTAACCTCTCTGACAGTACCTCCCTTTGGGGAGCGGCGTGGCCATTTCTGGCAGCTGTCAATAGTAGTAGTAGTAGTGTGTGTGTGTGTGTGTGTGTGTGTGTGTGTGCTTTTCTGGGCTCTGACCGAAATGGAAGGATAGCTGCGTTTGCAGCCATGGCTGTGTGGTGTAGACCAGGCCATGGTTGCTGCAGCATGTCCCAGTGGATTTGCGCTCTGCTGGGAGTAGGTACACAAGCACAAGCGAGACGAGGCAGTGTTTCTTGTTTGAAAATTTTTCAAATTTTCGAATAGTTGTGGACGAGGATGAGGACGATGAGGAAGTCGAGGAAGGAGCGAGAGACTCTCTTTATGGCGAGCTGGAATGTCCAGTCCCTTGTAGAGGACACAGGTGATGCCAGGATATGTAGGAAAAACAAGTCAGTGTCGCGAGTGGACAGAGGTCTGGACTTTTTGTCGGCGGAACTCGTAAAATTCCGTGTCGGAGTTGCGGGAATTCAAGAGACGAAGTGGTTCGGCAGTGATGTGTGGCCCATCGGCAATTGTACCTTCGTTCATTCTGGTCGCCCAATCCCAACAGGGGGAGAACCAGCCCGACGGAACGAGGGTGTTGGAATTTGGATGAATCCAGAGATGTCGGCGGCGTGGCGGCGTGGCGGAGAACAGTGGGACCCCGTAAGCTCGCGCATCGTCACGGCTCGTATCCTACTTCACGCGAAGGGGGACAAACTACCCCGCGGAGATCGATGTCACCGTGATCAGTACTTGTCTGTTATCAACATCTATGCGCCCACCAACAAAGCGACATTCAGCGTGAAGGAGACATTTTATAGACACCTACAGGCGATCGTTGACAAAGTCAACCGTAACGACATCTTTGTACTCCTGGGCGATTTCAACGCCAGAGTAGGGTCACGCGGAACTGGTGATTTTCGGGACAGGTATGACGATAGGCCCCCCTGGGATCAGATCATTGGTGACTTTGGTCTTGGTCAATGTAATCAGGCTGGTGAGGATTTATTGTTGTTCTGCGCGAGGAACTCACTATGCGTTTTGAATACCTGGTTTCGGAAGAAGCTCCGCAAGCGTGGAACCTGGACTCATCCTGCCACACGTCAACCACACCTGATTGATTATGTCATTATGCGACAGGATCAGCACGTATACTGTCAGGATGTCTCTGTCATGCGTGGCGCGTCATTTTGGTCTGATCACTACATGGTCCGTGCACGTTTGGCTCTGGGTCGTGGTGCTCCACCGCGCAATGGGCGTACAAGTGGCAGCGGCAACCGGAAGCGTTTTGACGTGAGGAGTTTGCGGAACACTGATGTTTGTACAGCTTTCCAGGATAGTGTTCAGGAGCGTCTGGCCAGGGATTCTGCAGTGCCCAGAGAGTCGGTGGAGTCTATAGATCTAGAGTGGTCTGGCATCCGTGACGCTGTTACGTCTGCTGCCTCTGACATCATTGGTTTTGGTAAACGTGTTCAACCAGACTGGTTCTTGGAGAGCAGCTCGACTCTTGAGCCGCTCATTGATGCCAAGAATACCTGCCATCAAGCGTTGCTGTCAAACGATACAGTTGATACTCGGAAAGCCTTTCGACAGGCACAACGTGCAGTGGCAAAGGCTGTGCGGATGGCGAAGGAGAACTGGATATCAGAGGTAGTGCGTGATGCTGAGGAGGCTAAGAAAGATGGGCGCACTCGCTGGAAGTGCATCCGGAAGCTGCAGGAAATTGAGAAGGGCAGAACTTCAAAGCATACATCTGCTGTGCTGGATGAGAACGGCAACTTGATCCAGGATGCGGATGCTGTTCGTGCTCGTTTCGGACGGCACTTTGAGATGGTGTTAAATACGCAGAGCCAATTTGACCAACACACTGTTGACAGCATGCCTGCATTGGATGTTCGTGAACATCTGGACGACGTCCCTAGCATCGAGGAGCTCCAACGTGCACTTCGCCGTATGAAGAATGGCACAGCCAGTGGTCAATCAGGCATTCTGCCAGAGCTGATACGTTGTGGTGGTGAACTGTTGTTGGGTCGCCTCCATGAGTTCATCGTTAGGGTTTGGGAAACTGGATCGGTCCCTGCTGACTGGCGTGATGCAGAGATAGTCCCCATTCCCAAGAAGGGTAACCGGCATAGCTGTGATAACTGGCGTGGCATCAGCTTGCTCGATGTTGTGGGCAAACTGTTTGCTCGCATGCTCCAGGACCGGCTTGAGCCACTCGCTGAAGACTGGCTACCAGAGTCTCAGTGCGGTTTTCGGAAGGGTAGGGGCTGCATCGACATGATCTTTGCTGCCCGCCAAGTACTCGAGAAAGCCATTGAACATCAATCTGATCTGTACGTCTTG